GTGAAAAAACAAAAACAAGAACTATCTCTCTCTCTATATATTTCTCTCTCTCTCCTTCTCTTTCTCTCACACATATAAACATGTTTAATCGAATTACTGAACCAATGCTCCACTCCTTAAATTTTACACTCTCACTCTTACGTGGCCTACAAGTTTTCCTTTTTCATGGGATTTGGTGCTCCTTACTCTTACTCTAAATTTTCTTTAGATATTCGTCTTGTAATTATGCATTTTTTCAACTTTTAATGTCATTCTCATACAAAAGTTTTGTATCGATTTGTCTTCTTAATTCTCTACTTTTATCATCTCCTCCTTTGCCCCTATCATTTTTTCTAAACTATCCTTTCATTGATTGTTTGTTGCTGGGGCGTCTGCTAGTGGCGGTGATAAAGGAGGAAGATGAAGGAATGCTGTAGAGGCTGGCATCAGAATCGTGGCCTCTTGTAACACCCCGACCCAGACAAATTACGGAGGGGACTATTGTAACGAAATGCGCATCAAGGGCCAATAACTGTCCTCAAAAACCAACCAAAAAATCCTTCCAGCACATTTTATCCTCACTCATGCGCACCCCAAGAAAACTTCTCAGGAGGTTAGCATCCCAAGACTACTCTCAACCAAGCATGCCTAATTGAGAAGTGTCTTAGCATATGAGCTCCCTAAAAGGAAGATGCATCTTATTGATATATGATTAGTATATCAAATCCTTTTAAAATTATCATGAGGGGTATTACACCTCCGCTGCTGAATTGAGGTGTTGCTAATGGCTTAAGATTGAGATTCGCGGCCTGACGGCGGTGGGCGTGTTGCAGCACCTCTTGGCATCATTTCCGATGGAGTGTGTGGGGAAAGGAATTAGGGCTTAGTGGTGGGGGAGTGGATGAGATGAAATAAATTTTAAAGTTTTGAGTTCATAATGTTGTAATAGTGTGTTATGGAGTAGGGATATCAAAAGCCGACTTGACTCGGTAATCGACTAAAACCCACCCGAAATAAATCGGTTTTGAGTGAGATTTCAACCAGTTTATGTATTAGGGTCAACACGAACTTGACTTGTACGGGTGTCGCCTTATAGTGTAATACCCCGTATTTTTATACGTATTTTATTTAAAAAATGTGTTTTATAAAGTATTTAAATAATTTTAATATTTTAATTATGGCATTTTAACTAATATTTTTATAAAAGGAAAGTTTATTTAATTTCTTTATTTATAAAAGTTGGGGTTTTATTTTAAGAAAGTTTAATTTCAACAAGTTTTATTAGGGAAGGGATTAGGAAAAACTAAAAGAGGAAAGTTTAGGGAAAAAGGGATTGGTTGAGAAGGGGTATAAATATCCCACTTATGAGGCAAATCAACTTTGCCCGGAGTGGAGAAAAACCCAAGGTAAACTTCTCTCTCTCTCCTCCTTATTTTTCTTTCTTTTTCTTTTCCCCTTTCCCTTTCTTTTTTTTCGGCTGCCTTGTTTTTCCGCCCCCCTCCACCGCTGCCAGCCACCGGCAGCAGGTGGTCGCCGCTGCCAGCAGCGTCAGCCGTCGGCAGCAGGTGGCCGCCGGTGGCTGCCTTCTCTTTCCCCCTTTTTTCGAGTGTATAAAAAAACTTAGCTTTATTATTTTAATTTAATCTATGCTTAAATCTAAGTGTAAATTATGAGTTTTGGGATTTGATTTTTTGATGTTTGATTATTATTATTATGTCAATTAATTTTCAGATTTGATTTTAATTAAAAAAAAAAGCTCTAATTTTTGAAACCCTAGGTTCTTGATTTATGAATTATTGAAGGGTTATGATAAATATTGGTTTAGATCTTTGTTTTAAGTGTTTTAAGTCTTAATTACAACAAGTTTTAATTAAAATAAAGTGCTGGAATTTTTATGTAGAACACTTAATATTATGTTTAAGATCGCACTCAAGGTATGTTCGCGTACTTAGCATATTTTGATGATGTAGAATCATGCTAGGCTTGATTTCAATCCATTACAAGTAGTATCATGCTAAGGTTTATGTATGGAATTGTGAATTAATGGTGTTGGTGATTGAATTGTGAAGCATGAATTATTTGTGATGGTTTATGGATTAGAAAATTATATTTTGGGCATGTTGTGTTTGAATTACACTTTTATTTATGGCATGTTAGAATGCACGATTAATTAAACTACATGTTTAATTATGTTTGGAATATTGAAAAGGAATTTTATTATGGTTCAAATAATTTTTATTGATGCTTTAAGCATGAGGAAGAAGCTATATAAGTGTCTATGTACACAAGGGATAAATTGTATGTTGGTGCCTTTATGCACTTAAGGTGTTTTTAACACCGAGGGATAGGATTTTTGGCGCTTTATGCATTTAAGAAGTCTTTGACACTGAGGTAGAATTAAAAAGGGTTCAACATTAAATAATATGTGGTCACTAATTATTCAAGAATTAAATTGGTATGTTTGGTTGATTGAATAATTATTGTTGATTGATTTATTATGTTTTGAGAGTCATCACCAGGTCCAATAACATGTAAATAACGTAAATTGAAAGAGATTACGCACCAAAACTCTTGGAACGTATATACCTTGAGTATGGACAATGGGGGGAGTTATGGGGTTTTATATTTAACCATAACTTCTAATGGAGTACAGGATGTTGTACATTCCTTTTTATTTATTATTATGCACAGGAATTCCGCCACCTTTGAGTGGTTTTGTCGCTTGCACGATTAGCTCCTGCGTCAGTTAACCTCAATTTATTTGGGGGAGGTAAAGTTGGAAACACATTCGATGCGTAATCAACGCTAAATAAATTATTTAGTGTCTAATTAAAGTTTCTTGTTGATTTTGTGTGTGCTTGTAAACAGGTGCATTGAGGTAAGTGTGTGTTGATAAGTGAAAGCATGTTAGTGTGTTTAATTACGCTTATGTACTCAGCTTTGCTGATTGTGTGTGTTTGTGTGTTTAGCCATGTCTTTATCTTGGCCCTATGATGACCCATTTTTAATGGAGAGTAGTGGGGACAAGTAGAGATAAATTTTTCAAGTATTGAAGCATATTCATGATGGGGCATGAGTGAAGAGTGAATCATGCTAGTTTCCATTAGTTTACGATGTGTTTTATGCTTTATTTATTTATGACATCTTATGTGTGGACTAACGCAAAGGTTTGGTTTTGGAACGGTTTTGAATAAGGGCCTTTAATGGTTCCAAGTTGTAGTTTGATTTTATTTGACTTTGTTTGTTTCGGTTTTAAACTTTACTTTCGTTTGGTGGACTTTTGAGTTGACTTGTTTAAACGGTTTTTAATTTTAAGTCTTCCGTTGTGTATCTTTGATAGTTGTCTTAGCCGTTTTCACGGTGGCGGTAATGTCTTAGATATTCCTAAATCGTATTTTAAAGAGTAAAGTGGGTATTTAAAGGAAAGGAATTTCTAGGGTTTTACATATAGGCACGTAAATTTATATAAGTGCCACATCAGATATTATATAGGTCAAAAGTCAAAGTATTGACTCGAGTTTATTTGACAAATAATTAAATGTACTTAATTTGGGTGAAATAAATTAAATTAGTCCATTAAGTATTTAAATTAAATTGTTTATTTAATAGTGATGAAAACCTACTAAAATTGGTTAAGTTATTATAAATAAGTCATGATTACCAAGTCAAAAGACCAATACATATTAACCCTAACTAATCACTAGGGTGTCTCACTCTATAAATAGAGGCTCTCTGCTTCATTTGAAAGAGGGGAAGAAACAAGGTGAATCAAAATACAGAGAAAACCTCTCAAATACTTAAAAGAACAAAAAGCATTCGACGTGCCATGCCTCGATGGTCCTCAACATACAGAAAGAAAGAACATCAAAACATCAAGCTAGGGATGACAATTAATTCCGAGTTCAATTCAAATCCGATTCGATCCGAAGAAAACAAATTTGATCCTAATCCGTTTAAAATTAGTCCGAATCCGATAAATTAGATCCGAATCCAAATAGGAGGTGGATTGGACTTGGACCCTATGTAAAGTCCGACTGAGTACGATTCGACTCCGAGAGTATGAGTATATGTTCTATAACTTGGGATAATTGCTTTCTTCCTTCCTTTATAGTAAAATTTTATTATGTAACTTAGTTCATAATTTAAATATATTATGCTTATCCTTTACTCGGTATGACAGTGTAAACAATTATAGGTATGTCACACATTACCAAAAAAAAAAAAAAAAAAAAAAAAAAAAATCGGATCATTCAGAGGTTAGAATAAACGGACCAGATTCAGACCAGAAAATTACGAGTAGGATTTAGACTCGAATTCGGATTTTTTCTGAATTCGGATCCTAGTTCAGGGTCCGTTTACTACACGAATCGGATTCGGATTTAACCGCTTCCAACCCGAACCCAATCCGTTGTCATTCCTACATCAAGCGCATCACAAGTCCGTGCAGTTCAACCTCTACATCAAATAGTCATTAATTGAGATCAAGGGTCGCCGGTCCTCATTGCTCAATCAAAAATTCAAGTCAAAGGTCTACATCAGCAATATTTGATCGAGATCAAGCCTCATCAATCGCCCCTCATTCAAAATTCTGCATAAACTATCTTTGATCGTGATCAAGCATCGATTACCCTCATCAAAAATCAAGTTCGCTTGTGAAACAAGTCAAAGCTAAAATGGAGTAGTTGGAGATCAAATAAGAGGAACAAATTAGAGATTATACCCAATATTATCAAACTAGGGTGGCTCCACGCGCGCGATGCGCGCGGAATTGTATGGTTTAACTTGTAGGATGTAACATTAAGGTGTAGTTAGTTACCATATAATGTTGGTGTGCACTATGATGGACTACACCGTATAATAAATATATACTACCTCCGTTACATATTATTTGCAACGATTTGACATAAAATAGAGAGGAAAAGTGTCTAATCGTTGCAAATAATATGTAACGGAAGTAGTAGTACAAGTGTAGTAATCAAATGCTTTGGACAACATTGTTTGGACACGAGACATTATTCATATGTGAAATGATAAGCGTTGTCAATTACATTGAATTGACCGACATTTTGTACATCATTTATGCTAGGTAATTGTAAGTAAAGTAGGAAAAATGACTTTGTAAGCCTAATGGTTTCTGCATAGTTTTATGTAATTTATAGGCAACAATATCCAACATAAGCAATAATTGATGAAGCTTGGCATTCCAGCTGAAAGCCTGAAACTATTAGACAAAGCAAATTCGAAGTACAAATTAGTAGAAGACGATACAGAAGTTGGTTTTGTAAGATAAACAACAGTTTGCGCAGCATTAGAGGAGCAAAACCAACAATGATATCAACTCCATTTGCTTCTCCCAAAGCCCAGTCTCTAAAGATTTCTTCGTCATATCTTGTTGGTCCACTAGCAGCATACCTATCACCACCTCTTATGCCTCCATATCTCTATTCCGACCACATCCATTTTAGGGGCATTAATCCATATATTTATTGCTTCTATAACAATCACCAGCAAGTGGGGGTACCTTTCAGTGCTGCAACGATCACAGGAACACATACCCATCTATGTTATCCAAATGGTCTCTACTATCATAGCGCCCCCAACAGCGCGCTCATAGTAACAGCTACAATCACAATCTCCCTGAAGACCAAAGCTACCAAATTCAGATTATGCAGGATACCTGCCACCACCACTCGATGGGCAATCCCTAGCCCTGCACGCCCACACTTAAGAGGATGAGAATGCTACAATATCATTATTTCAGTGAAGGAGAACAAAGAATTGTAAACGAATATATTCAAGGGCAAAAAAGTTAGCACACTAAAATAAATAATAATAATTATCACCCCTTCCCATCTCTATTTCATAGCTTTTCTATTGCAAATTCTCAGTTCATTATAATAGTTCACCATCTAAAATTCATTGGTATTCTAATCAGCGTATAATCACATATTACTATTTGGGTTCTAAAATCTTGTAATTTTCATTCACCAATCTAGCATGATAATTATTCTACTTCATAAATGAGCATAACATGTCATGAAAACAAATAGTTAACAAACATCTATCAGAAGCAGACCTTGGTGACTATCCTCGTATACACTTCAATTTTATAAGAAGCAGACATTGAATTGGATACGAACCTCATACACTGGTTGAAAAATGCTTGAAGTTTCACTACTTAATTTCTATATGGAGAGATTGCACATAGTTCCCATTAAACTAAGAGACAAACTGTGTTGATGCCAATGGACGTTTTAGCTCGATGATGTACTGGACAACATAGTTTATATAGGACAATATTAAATCTACCGTGTGATCCAGCAAAGATTCATGTAGTGAGTGTACTGATAACAAACCATTTATCTTTAAGTCCGATTGAACAAAAAACCACCCCTCTACCTCCAAGATATTTTTTCAGGGTGCACATATGTAGAGAGGTCCTACTTATATTCCAACAACACCTAATCTTTTCATATAAATCCTCATCAAATTAACAAAAACACACAAGGAATGTAAAGATTTTGTATGATTCAATGGTGATGATTGAGGAATGTAAATATTTTGATTGGTTCACAAAACCGTTTTATAGCATATGCAACGGCAACAAGATTCCTGCAAATCAAGCCAATCGACAAGACTATTCCATTTGTATATCTGCTCCTAAGTTACTTTACAGACTTTTCCAGTAAAGCATATTTAAATCCATAGACTTTTCAAGTAAAAGTGTAAAACACTCAATTGATGATCAAATGACAATGAGAAGTGCAAGTAGTGAGAAATAGGAGGCAGCCCCAAAATGAAGCTAGAATTGAAAATATCCTTGGATGATACAACTACAAATTAAACAATGTTTTCAATATGATATATCTAACTACGATGAACCTGAACACAAACCATTTCATATAATACAACAAACTAACCTTAATTAAACCAAATTCATACAAACATTAAGAAAATATATACCAGTAGAAAAATGAAAAAAGGGAAATTAAAAAGAAAAAGACAAGAAATCAATGCCTATAGAACAATGAAAAAAGAGAAATTAAAAAGAAAATTACCCCTTATTGTCCAAAACCATTCTTTTAAACTTCACTCGTGAATTTAAACTGATATTTGCAAAACAATCAAAGTATACCCACAAATAAATTCCATAAAATCACAAGTTTTGCTCTCTTGAACAATGCAATGTCATGGATAATGCAAACAGTTAGGGTTGAATAACAGAAGCATGACATTTCAATAATCAACTTAGGCATGGAGTTAAAAGAGTGACTCCTAAAATTCAGAGGGTTGAATAACTGTATGATAGACTGCTAGTGCTGACATCTATACTCAACTTATAAGTTTTTAGTGCATCAGGTAGAATTTCACCAAGGAGGCAAGGATTCGTCAAATTGCAGGTAAAAAACATGTGGAGAAATTTATACGCATAAACTAATAATCAAAACAGAAGTAAAATAGCTTAAGCCTAATGGATAGAGGATATGAATCTAAGCTGGTCAAAGATATCAAACCTTGACCAGAAAAAGGTTAAATGAGAAGCTTGCAGAGAGAAACAAGCTGGTTATGCATAGCTTTCATTCAACTTTTAGCTGCTTTCCAACAAGGATCAGAACAACCAAACTTGTGAAATTCTTCAGCCTTGCTTTCAAATAATGAAAAATAAATACAATTTCAATAAGATATTCTTTGCGTTTTATCCACTTATTTTTGGCATATGCCAACAACCGATCTATCCTAAATACTGCAGGATATTTTTGAAATCAAGAAAACTGGCTCTTAATGATTACTTTTCCAAAAGTAGGATCAAACTTGACTAAACAAATCTTAACGCATTGATGAACTCAATGAAAGCAAAAAAATAAAGTTCAATGTCTTTCTAATAATCCAGTCAAGTACTTAAATGTAGCGGACTTAAATTTAGCAGCTTTAGGATCATACCCATATTTCTTAGCCTCAACAGGGAAAAGATCATCGTACTTCATCTTATTTGCAGTGTCATTTGTATAAATAACCACTAATTTTATCCCCCAAATTCTTGCTGGTTATGCTCATTTTAACAAAATGTAATCACACAACAATAATTCAAAATACCAATATTTGTCCCGAGGTTAACAACAATGACATCATTACCTCAATGTTTAATACTCCCGCTCCAAGTAGGATATAAGGGGGTCGATTATACTTAATCTTAGCCCAACAACAACATGTAGGAGTACACACATAATATATGAGATACTCATAAAATTTGCCAATATTTGAACATTCAAAATACTAAAATGCAAGACTCAAATCCACACGAACCACAATCAATTAAGCATAATAGCATGAAAACTCGGCTTAAATTACCTCTTGTATGATTTTCACAGCAATCTTGTCCTTGACACTTCCTCTGGGATTCAAGAACTCGGCTTTCCCAAGAATTTGCCCAAACAAAAACTAATTAGAGCTTATGCTTGCTTTGATAATTAAGCTAATCAAAGCATAATTTTTCTTTCCTGTACTAATATGGCAGCTAAATAACCTAATTCAAAACTTTTGATTCAAAAACTTTTGTTCGAACAAAATTGTTTTATAATACTCTAAAATTGGTTCTCTACACTTTGACATGACATATTGAAACTCGTTCACAAGATAAAATGAAAAATGGCACAATAAAGATATCGGAAGTCATAAATATCAGGATTCAGCCACACGTGTTACCTGAAAATTCTTAACAGCAACAGCAACTTCTATGGAAGTATCTTGAGAACTGCCCTGGAAATAGAGCAAATGCATTTAGTTAAAAAAATTTACAAACTTGGCATTTCAAATAATGATGAAAGCAAACTTCAGTCTTATTGTCTCTCTCTGTGTTTCTCGCCATTTCCGGAACCTGTTGATTCACCCATTCACCTATTATAAGAAAAATCAAACAAAAGGTTCACATAGATATCATCATTTCATCACAATTAATTCACCAAAATTGAAAATTAATGTAGTTAATTTCACAGAAAATCAAACAAAAATCATTCAAGAAATCATAAATCAAATCCTAAATAAGAGGTTTCACTTTAAACATAATTTTTTTGAGGAATATAATCTTAGTCAGAAGTTGAAGAATATAAAATCAAATCAATATTTAATCTGAACAAGATAAGATAACAGGTATCTGAAAAATTGTCATAATAAAATTTCAGAATACCCAAGTCGTTGAAGCCATAAAATTAGCAGAAAGAAAAAAACCTAAGAAAAAAATCAAAAATCATACACAGAAGCATAAATTTCATTTCAAATTCAAATTAAAATAATCAAAGATCTAGACAGTCAAAGCCTCAAATATAAATCTAGAAAAATCACCAAAAATCTACCTATATGACTCAATAAAAATTCAGAAAATTGAATGGAAAGTTGAAAGAGGAGTGAGGAAATGGTACCTCAGCAGCGACATACTCAAGGACAGCATAAAGATAGACAAGAGAACCAGAATCAACCCTCTGAGCATCTCAACCCTTCTGCCGGCAGTGCTCTTACTGTGGATTGTGGCGCCACCATTGTTGAATTTGTAGAGAGAATTTTGAGGAGAAAGAGTTATAATGTATATCAATTTCAGTTTCCAAGGAGAGAAAGATTTGAAGGTCGGAGGAAGAGAGGGAAAGGAAAGCTAAAAACAGAGATATACTGTATATCAATTATCAAGAGAGGGAATAGTGAAAAGGCAATTGTTTATGCATAAAAAAAAATATAAATTCACACACAAAAAAAAGGCCGAAATATTGGAAAAAAAAAAATAATAATTACCTAAACTTTAAACTTGAGACTAATGTGAGTAGGAGCACCGGAGCAGGCTGCAGGCTTTTCCTCATTAAAAGCTTTGTTACCTCCATTCTTGTTGGTATCACTTTATCAAGTTATCTTCAACCTTCAAATCACAATTTTTCTCTTGTAGGGTTACATCGCTAGATTAAATAGCATAAATCCTTATTTAATTGTGAAAATGGAAAATATTGAGCACCTTTTGTACGAGAAAATAAGGTTCGGTGATCGACCGGCCTTCATTTTGAGAAGAAGTAAAGCCATTGTCATTGACCACTATTGTGGAGAGAGAATGCAAATAGAGGAGAAGAGGGAGAGGGAAAGATTAAAAACAGAAAATATCAGAGAAGAGATATCAAGAAAGAGGAAAGTGAAAACTGAAAAGATAGTTAAGAAATGAAGGGAGGAGAAAATGCCACGTCAGCATTCTCACACATGCAATTGGCACATGTTGCTACTGTTCATAAGGGAACAAGGTCAAACATTTTAAGGGTTGAAGATTTATAAAATTAACATTTTTGTTCCATTTATTTTTAATCTATATCTTGCATATAAAAAATTTGTGATCACATTTTTCAAATACAAAAAATAATAAATAAAAATTAATTGTGATCACAAATTTGGCATGGTCGTCAGGGTTAAGTGGTCAACCCAAATCAAACCCGCATAACTAAATTAGTTTAAACCATAATATATAAATGTGGGCCAAGCCCACCAGCGAAAATGTTGAATGACTGATTAAAGACTAAAACCCTAAAACTCCTGTATTTTACGCCGCTTTCATTCTCTTTTTTTCTCTTTTGTTTTCAATTTTTCCCCATTAAAATTGGTGATTCAAACTCATTAATCTTTCATCTCCAGGTAATTTATCTAAAAATTTCATTCTCATTAATTAATTCTGTTGTGTTTTAATCTGATTATGTATTCATGTTGCTCTATTATTTCTTCAATTCATTGCATGCGTTTTGTTTATGAGGTTATTTCATTCTCTTTACTTAATTTTGTTGAGTTTTATTTATTTTTCGCCTTTTTATTCATTTTTATGTAATTATGTTACTCTATATGCGTATTGTTTTAGCTTGTTTTGTTTTGATTTTATTTCATATGCATTGTGTTTTGATTTTTTCATTTGCGTTTATGAGTTCATTTTATGTTTATGTTGCTCTTATGGTAAATTTCTGTTGGAATATCGTGATTATTTGTTTGTGTTGATTTTCTGTTGTGCAACACATATTTTGTAAGTTCTCTTTTTCTGTGTCACTTATATGAAAGTTGTTGAGTGCTGGGATAGTTGATAATCTCTGCAATTTTGTGATTTCTCTCTGAATATCTGACCATCTGAGTTTGCATTCCTCTGTTGGATAGTAGAGTCTGCTTAATTAACTCATTCTTAATTAACAGATAGTAGAGTCTGTTGGATATACCATTCCATAGTTACCTCCAAGCCTGGAATTCTAGGCGTTTTTCGAGCTTTTAATTTCTCTCTGCTCAATCTCTTACCATGGCGGCGGTAGAAGTTGCAGTCCCAGTTGAGACTCCCGATCCTTTGCAAAATGAGGTCAAGCTTTTCGGTCGATGGAGCTTTGACGATGTCACTGTTCGTAATCTTCTCTCTCCTATTCATATTTTTGTTGATCTCCTCCTTTTTGATCATTAATTATGAAGTGTATGATTTTGATAGTTCCTACTAATTTGTATGTTTTTGTGAAATGAGTTTACTTTTATTTAAGGCTTCCAGCCGGAAAGGCTTGAATTTGGACTTAATTTGATGATATACAGTTTCCTAAGTTGTTTGGATCTTTAAGATTGTTAGTTATTTTGCTGTTGTTTTAACATGCTGATTATTGATTTTTTGCATTGAAATTATTTGGAATTAGCTGCTTTCTGTATACTTTTAGTAATTTGAGATGATTTAAATTTTACAGATTTTTCAATTATGGGATTGAGTAATTTAGGCTTTCCAATTGTTTTTTCCAAGCATATTGGTATAGTAATATGCAATGTATGTATTTGTCATACTTATTTTCTTGTTTGTCACGCAAATGGGAATGAAGGCACTTTGTCTGTCCTAATTTAGTTGTTACATAACAAGTTCTAATCACGGTAGCAATAAGACTTTTGTTTCTGGAATTCATTATGACCTTGCTGTATCATGTTTAGAGTACTATGTTGATTTTAATTGGTGTGTGACTGTAGAGTTATAGAATTCATAAGCAATATTGTATTCGGTTGCAAGTTGCTGCTATTGCTGCATAATTTTGGTTCTTATGTGGTTAGATTAGATGAATATAATTCTCTCTTAAGGAGTGTGTTTATTGACAATAGATGGATTTTATTATTTTCTGTTGCGTGTTATACTTATTTATGTGTTAAGAAGGCCCTTGGTTTGATATGTAGGTCCATGACATTGCTTTGGCTGATTACATCGGAGTGACTGCAGTTAAGCATGCCACGTACGTCCCTCACACTTCTGGAAGATATCAAATGAAGCGTTTCAGGAAAGCTCAGTGCCCTATTGTTGAAAGGTTGACCAATTCTCTCATGATGCACGGACGCAACAATGGAAAGAAGCTGATGGCTGTTCGCATTATTAAGCATGCCATGGACATCATCCATCTCTTGACTGACTTGAACCCCATTCAAGTAGTAGTTGATGCCATCATTAACAGGTATTAGAAAACCCCCCTTCTGTATTGCCTTCTCTGTAGGCTCTTTTTTGTTTGCTTTGCACCATTTTTACATACATAGGACATTTAGAATATCGAATTAAATGTTGGTATTGTTCATTAGCTTTCATTATTCTATTGTTTTAAACCAGCGTTACAAGGTTCGCGGTACGTATCCACGAACCGCGAACTGAGTCGCGCGTATCGGAACGCGGAACAAACGCGACTTGAGTCGCTAGGGTTCACGACCTGGATCGCTGAAGGAGGCGTCTCTGGTACTGAATGGGTTCAATGGTTTTTTGCGATATTTCCAATGCATTTTCTCTCTCTTCTGGTTTTATATATCTTAGGAATTAGGAGTAGTTTTTTTTCTCTCTCCTCTCTCCTCTCTCCTTTCTCCAGTAGTACTATTAAGCCAGTAAGTTTATAATGTTGTTTTTATTGGAGTATTTATTATTTATTTATTTGTACTACATAGGGTGGCGGCTAGGGTTATATTCCAAATGGGCTTAAATCTTTGGGCTTTATATTATATATATTATGTACTCTATTTCTTAACCAACCCACATAAATTCCTAAGATACAACTACATTTTATATTGTTTTCCAAATCAATATCTTATTAATAAAAATCACCCATATATTTTATTATTTTATTTATTTCGTACCAAATTCATCACGGGTAGCGTGTCGCGTATCCGTTTCCGTACCACGTTTCGAATCGAATCGTGTACCTTGTAACGTTGTTTTAAACACAATAATACCCTTATTGTTACTGAAACCATGTTGTGTTATGCAGTGGACCCAGAGAAGATGCAACCAGAATTGGTTCTGCTGGTGTTGTGAGGCGTCAAGCTGTTGATATCTCTCCACTAAGGCGTGTTAATCAGGCAATCTATCTTCTTACTACTGGTGCTCGTGAGAGTGCTTTCAGGAACATCAAGACCATTGCTGAGTGCCTTGCTGATGAACTCATCAATGCTGCCAAGGGTTCATCCAACAGGTAATCTGCCTCTTTTAATGAATGCTCTATAGTAAGCACTAAGCAGTATATGTTCGGTGATGTATCAGGTTGCTGACTGGCTGTACAGTTCTTGACATGCTGAGTGCAATGTTAAAATGTCATGGTTTGAATGATTTTAATTGTTGCTCACAGTACAATCTTGATTGTTGAAAATGGCATAAGAAGTAAATATGTGGTGGCTGGTAGGAGTTGAGCAAATGCTCATTCTATGTCACGCCAGAGATATTGTCTACCGCCATTCTTGCTATACCTTTTTTGACACAAATGATACCTTCACTATACCTTAAGTATTTTACAAGGAAATATATTATCTTACATAGTAATAATAATCCTATACATATATAAGATTATTTATTACGGTCTATGCGTAGAAAGATACCCAGAGCAGCTCAATGTTCATCATATGCTGTCTTTTACGGATTATTTATTATTTTTTCTTGAATTTTTTTTTTTCCCCTGCAGTTATGCTATCAAGAAGAAAGATGAAATTGAAAGAGTTGCCAAGGCCAACCGTTAAGTTAGGGACTATGTTTAAACACACTGGGATTTTTGTTGCTTCTTTTTTTGGATTTGTACTCTATGGATCTTATATAAGAATCAAAGATGTCCTAGAGGTATCTTTTTTTTCTTTCTCTCGGTGTGAGCAACCTCGCTTTTACGGTTGGATTGATATACATTTCTTTGGGATGAGTATGTAGAGTTAAAATTAATGTACCTTCAGATCAATTTTTATCATGCTCTCAATCACTTACTCCCTCCATCCCAATTTTCTTACCCAGCCATTTTTACAAGTTGTTTTGAGTTTTAGTCAAGTGTCATTAACAGATAAAAATTGATGGGGGCTAAAAGCAATGCGTGAGTTGAAAGTGTGGTTCCTTGTTATTACCATTCATGGTATTGTCAATTTGGACAAGCTTAAAAGGGATAGAAGGATTAAGTCGAAAAGAATTCACTTGTTGCCGGCTTGCTGCAGCAAAGTTTTTGTAGGGTGAATTCGTTTGTTGAAATTGAGTATTGATCAGTTCCAAAAATCTTACTTCAACAGTACTATATTCGTCCTCTTATTGCATGCCTATTTTTTGCACGGGAATTAAGAAAGTTAAAGATTTCTTAAAACTAATAATTAGATGTATAAATATGCATTTGAGGTTAGAGAGAGATCTCTAGTAAGACAAACTTACAAAGTGGTTGGGAATTAGGAGATAAAAAGTATTGGAAATCTATATCTACACTTCTATACTTAGTATTTAAAAGCTTAAACTACAACCGTTCATATGTCCTCTCAACTTATTCATACTTTCTTTGTTCTTTTTTATTTGACCTGTTTTTTTTATCACGCTTGTCAATGCAAAATTTAATTCAATAACTTTAATTCTTCATAAGTAAAATTTATAAAAGTTGTATATTACGATAATACTTATTGAGACGAATTAAAAAAGATATCATATGAATATATTTTTCCTTACATATCATTAACCAAAGACGGTCAAAGGAGAGGTGGTGAGTAGTGTAAAAAGTCAAAGCGGGTCAAGTAAAAATGAACGGAGGAAGTATGTCACATGTACTCACAACTCACTCATATGCCAAATGTTACTTCTCTTACCTTTTTAATATTAAAAAAATTAAATATAGTTCACTTTTACCTTTATGCGTAACTTGCATATATAATTAAGTAGGAAAATGAAGTGTTTCATTTCTACCATGATAGAATAAAGTTGAATTAACTATTACATAAACATATGAAATATAATAAAAAATAATCTTTTTATCTCTTAAACTTAAAATATAGTTTAAACTAATACGAAGTATTTAGTATGTCTTTTCATATTCTACAATATTTATGTATATATGGTTAACTAAATTCCTTCATATTTTTCCACAATTCCACCTTCACCTTTTTTTTTATTTTTTATTTATTTTTTTAAAGTTTTCACACCACTCACCTCAAAAGTCATAAAACTATAACTTCGTAGTTTCAACTATTAAAAAGCATACATTTATATGAAAAATAACATAAGTTATAACCCGTGCATTGAACGGGCCAAATGCTAGTTGATGTTAAAGTATAGAAAAGAAAAAGAAAAGGGATGACAAATCATAAAAAAAGAGAATAATATTGTAAAAAGTACAACCTATAAATAGAAATAAAACTTAATTTTGATGACCCAAAAAAGAAATACAGATATATAATAAAAGGTCGGAGGGAGTATTATTTTAGGAAAAATTGCCAGGAATAATCCGACCTTTGGCTCATCTGCCCAAAATAATCCCACCTTTCGATTATTTTTAAATAATCCGACCTTTATACCCAATCCGCTCCCAATGGTCTTAAGTGACCGGTTACCTGTAAAAAAAGTAATTATTTTTTTTATTTTTTGGTTTTATAACACGTGTCACCATACAATTTGTTTACAATTTTAAATTAAAAAAATTGAAAAAAAAAAAATTGGCAGCAAGCCAGCCGCCTCCTCCACAAGTCCCAGCCACCGCATCATCGTCGTCCACCAGCCCCATCTACCTGCTCCACCATCCCCAACTATCAAATCGAGGCTCAGGTCGTCGTCTGGCTATTGTAGGTGGTCTGGGCGGCTGAAATCAAGGCAGGGGAAAGTGAGGGAGGCCGAAATCGTAGCGGGGGAATATGGGAAGGCCGAACTCGAGCCGGGGAAAAGGGTGGGAGGCCGGAATCGAGATGGGGGAAGGAGAAATCTGCCAAAATCGGAACGGGGGAAGGGGAGAGGCGCCGGGATCGGGGCGGAGATGAGGTTTTCGAGGGTTTAGGGATGGTATTAATGGATGTTCGTGGGTTGAGGGGCGGTTTTAATGGAGAAGGGGCCGAAATTTTTACGGTGGGAGGGCCGGGGTTGGTTGTTCGGTGGAGGATGATGGGGGGTGTCGACGTTTGGGGAGGGGGTCTGGGTGGTCAGAGCTGCTGGGCAGGAGTGGCCGGCATCTGGGCCGGCAGGTATGGGCGACGGGGAGGTGGTTTACGCTGGTGGGGGCTTTTTCACATAATCAATTAATTTTTATTTTAAACTTTTTTCCTTAAAAAAAATTATACTTTTTAAAAATTTTATTTTATTTGTTTTACCATTCATAGGCTGATGTCAGGTGACTTGTTATAACAAGTCAGTTGACCGATTGGGACCATTGGGAGCGGAATAGGTATAAAGGTCGGATTATTTAAAAATAATCGAAAGGTGGGATTATTTTGGGCGGATGAGCTAAAGGTCAGATTATTCCCGTCAATTTTTTCATTATTTTATGTCTCAGTGGTAAAAAATTATTGTTGAAAAATGCTATACGTAGTCCTTAAGGCTATATATAAGCATTAAATTTACAACTTGTGTATTTAATACTTAAATGTAGTCCTTAGATAGCATTACCCGTTATTGTTTAGTGGTATAAAATTAATATTCGGTGGTAGAACTTAAATAAGCGATTTTTCCTTAAGTGAATTTACTCTTTGTTTTATAAATTTCTATAATTTCTTTTATTTGTATTAATTTTTATTAGCGACGTCGATTTAATATTAGAGCCATGCCAAATTGCTAATTAATTAGTATATAAGTAAAATTGGAGAATACTAAGTCAATCTACTGAGTTCAAGAAACCTACTTTAGACTATCACATATTCACATTCCTGAAAAATACTTCTAACTTTAGCCCAATCCTTAATTATATAGTTGATCAAATAGGTGAATTAAAATTAGAAGTTGATAGCATATATGCGTTGTATTAATATTGAAAGCAATATATCAATAATTACAACCGATATTAATTTAAAAAAAGAAAAGAAAAAAAAAAGTGAGTTTAAAGAACAAGTTAAACAAATACAATTTGTTTTAACAAACTAGGTTAGACATCAATTTAATAAAGAAGTATCACCTAATACAGAAAAAATCGTCCCTTATAAATATAAATATCCTTTTCAAAATTTAGATAAGACTAAAAAGTTTACTATATCCCTTCCTAAAAGACCCATTAGTAAAAGGAACAAAGAGACTAAAGATGAGCTCAGAAGAAAATGCTAGAAGAATTATAAATCTTATTTGATAAAGAAGACCCTAGTGAACTAAACGAAATCATGAAAAGAGTTTCTAAAAAAGAGATTGCTTTTGATAATGAAATTGAAGAAAGTAATTATGTATGAAAATTAATATTGTATCACTTCCTGTGTATCTTTAATCATATTATTGTAAAAAAGACTACAAGTTTAATTTTAATTAAGACACATTGAAATGAATATAACAAAATCCTACATGATTATGTTTTCTTTTACCTATCACGAATGTTAGTCAAAACAAAGTTAATAAATAGTGTCAATAGTCAAAACGTGTCTAATTTAGAACGAAAGAAGTACATAACTATAATAGTATAATTAATACGGAGTATTTTATCTGTTCTTTTTTTACTTGACCCGTTTTGACTTTTATACTATTTACTAACTCACCTTTGACCGATTTTTCTGAATTATATATAAAGAAAAACATGTTCATGTAGGATCTTGTTAGATTCGTCTAAATAAGTACTATTACAATATATAACTTTTATAAGTTTTACTCAGAGAAAATTAAAGTTATTAATGGTTAAATTTGTGCATTGACAAACGTGATAAAAGTAATAGGTCATATAAAAAACAAAGGAAGTATGGTGTACTCCGAATCTATACTATTCTAAAAAGAGAAAACAAGGTTTGATAGAAAAGGGTAGTTGTACAGTGTTTTTGTTTTTGTAAAATTCCATTCAAGTCCCAATTGTTGATGACTTGCAAGATGCGACATTTACTTGTTTTTTTTTTTTTTTTTAATTTTTTTATTATTTTTTTCTATGCTATTCTAAAAAGGGAAAACAAGGTTTGATAGAAAAGGGTAGTTGTACAGTGTTTTGTTTTTGTAAAATTCCATTCAAGTCCCAATTGTTGATGACTTGCAAGCTGCAGATTTTATTTTTTTTTATTTTTTTTTATTTTTTTTTTAACTCCAACAAGTTTGAATTTTTTTATTTTTTTTTTAATTTTGGCTTTTTAAATAACTTAATTTCTTTGATCACGAGTCTGATTTATGTTTTACTCTTACTAAGAGTAGGACAAGCAAAAATCAGTATCGTTTTCATATTTGGTCGTGTGTTCATTTTGTGTTGTTTGCTAAATCTTAAAAATATTATTATTAAAAAATTAAACATTTTGCTTTTGAGTAGGGTTGGCAAAATTCGTGTCATATTTGTGTTTTGTCTCGTGTTAATTTTGTAAGATACAATGTAATATAGCTCCATATTGGCCACTCTATTTAAACGATTTGTAGTTGGTTTAATTTCGTATCGTGTAGACTTTATGTTTTATCTCGATAAGTTTGTGTTCACATTGTGTCAGATTTCATGATATGTGCACTACCTCCGTTTTATATTAGTTGAACCTTTGGGGTATAATTTGTGAGATAAAAAATATTCCAACGTTGCAACTAATATGAAGCGGAGGTAGTATATATATTATATCCTCTGTTATTTTATATTTAATATATTTGAGAACGAATACTTTTTTAAATTTTTTTGTTTTTTTTTTTGGGATTTCGGTTTATACACACTTCTTTAATTAATTATACATTAAGCGTTTTATATATTACGAAAAAACACTCATTTGGGACATTAATTCTTCTTTATCCATATACTATAATGTAACGCCCCGACCTCTAATTTAGTTATTAAGATAATCTTAGCAGCGGAATTAACCTAACACGGTCGGGACGCCACTGCCGTAAATCCCTCACGAGATTTACAAGGCAACAAACATACTTAATTAACAAACTTGATTTATAAAACATAGTAATCTATTTATTACAAACATTATTCTTATTTTTTTTATAATAGCAAATCCTATCTTATCTCAAACTTTACTAAGTAGCTTAGTCTTACTATTCAAATTAAACAACTTAAAACTATAACTACTATTAAGTGATAACTGAAAGTAAAAATCCTCTCTACTACTCGTCTCCATCATCCCCAGCAGTACCTAAAACATAAAAAAAAAACATAAAAACGGGTGAGCCGAAGACTCAGTAACGAACTACTCTAGTAGTGTAACATCATTTCAGTTCATTTTAGTTAACAAAACAGGGAGAATGGATTTTCTTAAAACATTTAAAAAAATTCATATAATGATACATATAACGTTCTTATTAACATGCTAGTCGCTAGTCGCTGGCAAGTATGACATGGCGGAACGTCTTCCGCGATGGGCCGGTGCCCATAACAAAGAGCAGATGCTCGACATAGTTGAGCTAATGCCCCATGGGTACATGCATGACCGAGAAGTAACCTGTAAACATATACTGCCAGACGGACTAGGTCTTTCACTGTTATTTATCATGTTGTGTAACTTTTATATAAGTCATTCCTAGATTCATGACATACTTTCGCGAGATCCAAAGATCAATAAAACAACGTATATCAATAAAATCGTTCATATAAGTCATTAGACTGAAATACATTAATAAACATGTTTATCATCCCGCAAGTCATTAAATCCAGAGACATAAATAACTTTCAAAAATGACATCATGCTTTTATAAACACATTTCGAAGGGAAATGCGGGTACTAGCAATAGTCGTTACCTCGATTTACAGTCTGACAATCTTCCTGTTAGCCTTTATTCTATCGTTCTAACTGAGCTCCGAGGTCCGATTCCTCTTAAAAATATAAATTATTGCATTAGTAGGGAAAATTATTAAAATTATAAACTCTTTAATTAATTTAGTATGAAAACAATATTAAACTCATCTTTAGAAATAAATGTTACGTAACTTTTTGAGAACTTTTTGATAAAAGTAGTTGTATCATAATTCCTTCAAAAAGCTAGTAAACAAGTATATTTAATTAAATCAAATCCTTTTACAAAACATAAATCATAAAGTGTCCCTTACTTTGGGTGTATAAATAAACAAGTTTAAGAGCTTCATTTCATAAGACCAATCTTTAACTTGGCAAGAACATAGCACGCATCACCCAAAATGAAAGAAATGGATGGGTGGTTTTGGGCAGTACAGGGGAGGCAGCGCACACGGGGGGGCGGCGACGGTTGACCGATGATGATAGAGGTCAGGCGGTAGTAGGAGAAGAGGGGTGACAGTAATTGCGGTATTTCTTTAACGGTTGGAAAGTAGTATGTTTGTTGCTAAGACTTGCAAGAGAAGGAGGAAGAAAATAGGATTAACTAAGTCACTTGATAACTATAATTTGGTTCTTATAGGAATTGGATGAAACAAACTTGGCCTTATCCCAAGTCATTTCTTAACCGTGAAGGTGGTAATTGAAGAGGTAGAATTTGTCTTCTTATTGCATTAAGAAAAGGATGATAAGATCAAATTGCTATTATGATAATTATGGGGTTATGAGCAATCAATTGCATAAAGAAGCAAAATTAGACTTTGTACCATCTATTTCTTAACCGTGAAGGTGGTAATTGAAGAGGTGGAATTTGTCTTCTTGTTCCCTTTTATACCTACACCTTGAGGGAGTAGGATAAACTCAAGCTAAGTTGGCAAAGTCTAATCAATTATCCTTGATTGGTTTAGCAAGACATTAAGCAACAAGTATTAGGAGATGTAAAATAATTTTGATCTTCATAACTTAATCGTGAAGGAAATTAATATTGAAGAGGTGGGTTTTGTCCTTTTGTATGAATAAGGGTATTTTGGTCATTTTATTCTCTCGGGCAAAAATACTGATTTTGATATAAATCTGTAAACATACGGAATATAAAAATATTACTTAAACTGAAATACATTTTAAAATAAATTATTTTCCTTCGAAAAATTAGGTTTCGGAATAGTATAATATGATTTTAAAATAAAATTTAAGACAAAAACATTCGTTCTTGTTAAAATAGAGACAAAACCTTAATTAAGCTAGTAAAATAAATATTAGAGTATGATAAATCGGGTTTTAAAATCTCGGGTATTACATATAATAACAAAGAAAATCAATGGTTTGGAATTAAATGGTATAATAACTTCCGCGTCCTTCCTTTTCGTGTTTAATCTTGCTCTTCGACTCTTTGTTACATAAATCAAGTTGATTTTCATTGCGCATATCCCAACCACTCTCTAAAATTCAAATTATAACTACATTTTTTTTCCTACATGAATTTAATAACATTCTACATAACTACATTTTTTTCTTCCCATATAAAGTACGATATGACGGCATAAAAGAACATGTATTGTCAAAATCTTAATGTTGAAAGTAAAACAGACTAGAGGAATAAGTATTGAGGTGTAACTAAATTTGTTTGTATTATGATTTCACATTTAATGACATGATTCTAAAAGTCTATTTCATTAATTATATCACTCCATCTAAAAATAAATCTCAATACTTAGGGTTCGTTTGGCATTGCTGTAGTTAACTGTTTTTTGGTTTTTTGTTTTCTAAAAGTACATGATATTTTCCCATAATGAATCAAAAATTATATAAACTTATTAAAATTATGATAATTTTGAAAACTGACAACAGAAAAGTAAAAACACCTTTTTTTTATGTTTCCTGTTTTTGGTTTAAAAAAACAAAAGGAAATTGAAAACCAAAACTGATGTCAAACAAGCCCTTATTTAGATTAATAGTTTTCCCAACTTAATTTAAATGAGAAAGTTTGAAATTAGATTTATCACTTTCCTTTTAGTTTATAAATTATTAATATTTCACCGCTTTCCTTTTCTCCTTTCGCTTTATCTCCCTCAGCTTCAAAAATTACCTAAGAGTTCATCTTTTATAAAGTGATGCTTCTAAAACAAAATGAGGAAAGTATGATATTTCATACTATTGTGTAATTCACAAGTTAGTTTTCTATTTGAAAAGAAATTTCCATAATATGAACTTTAAAATTATTTTATTTTCAAAAATCTATGTGCTTTTTTCCCTTTGAAAACTAAAAATTTGGGTTCGTTTGGCATTACAATAATTTTCTTATTTTGGTTTTTTGTTTTTTAAAATCATATGACATATATATCATATAATGAATTAAAAATTATTCAAACTTATTAAAATCATGATATGACACATACCAAAAGGGATAAAGTTAAAAAAGAAATCGATATTGTCTCATGTATTATATTGGTTAATATATACTTTTTTTTTTGAAAGAAGTCCTAAAAGACACTGAATGTCATTAATATTAGCCATACGGTATCTACTATTGACAATGAACATTAATGAAAACGAATATAACAAAATCAAACAAGAATTAATCGGGGAAGGGCTAAGAATCCAAATACATAAATATAACAATTGGGCATATTCTCGATTCGTTGTCTCATATAACTTTTTGAGTGGATCTGTCGTCGCTTCACAATTTTGTGAGAAAGTAAATTCTTGTGCCGATTCCGTAACCCGAATTCGAGCCATAATCAATAGTAGCCCCGCACAACCGGAGACCAAATTAAGCACAAATAAAACCTTGTCTTTCGAAGAAGTACGAAAAACCTTGTTTTTCGAAGGAGATCGAAAAAACCTTGTCTTTCGAAGGAGGTTGAAAAAACCTTGTCTTTCGAAGGAGATAAACCCTTTATTTCGAGGGAGAAATTATTGTAACCTAAAACAAAAGGCTTAAATTTCCACCGGTGAAATCTGATAGAAGCTCCTATAAAATTGACAATGGAGACTAGGTTTAGGAGATAGAAGAGAGAAAAGGAGGCTAGCTGACTAGGGTTTAGGATTGTATTTTTTGGGTACAACGTCGTGGTTAATATATACCTTTAATATTACACATATATATTCTTAATTAAATTCATTATTGTTTAAATATATGTATACTATTCAAACCTTCATTACACAACCACATGTATCATTAAAAAAATGAAATTATTAATGAAGCAATATAATATTTGTAATAGGTTAGAAACCACGTGAAATCATAAGCTGATAAATAAATAAAAGTAATAATAACAATATTATACTACTGTAAGATGAAAATTGTAAGAATCATATGGGAAATAAAGCCACTAAGAAAGCTTTTATGATGAAAACATAAAACAACTCTTGAAATATAAAGCAAGTCAGATCTTGTGAATTGCTAAGCGACGTCCGGTATTTACCGGGTAACGCCCGTAATTTAACAAGACTTTACAAACATGCCCCCATATAAAATGTGCCCTATTCCACTTTCACTTTCTTTAACCACTCTCTAACTTGTTACCCCCATCAATCACCAAACAATCATCACGTCGTATTTTTTTAAAAAAAATTGCTTTACTCTACACCAATCAGCGCAAACGGTGAATGGATGAGTTTAAGGAAGCAATGACGCCACTGGAAAGATCGTCGGAGCATACGGAGTCGGTGAGTGCTATAATTTTTTTTATCCTTTTCCATTTTTTTTTATTTCGTAATCATAGAAGGAACACCTGAAATTTTAGAATCACCCGTGGAACATTCTAATATTTTAGGCGTTCAAGGGGGGAAACACTTGAAATTTTAGAATGTTCTTGGAGGAAACACCTGAAATTATAAAATGTTCCGGGGGAGATTCTAAAATTCAGGTGTTCCTTCCATGGAACATTCTAAAATTTCAGGCGTTCGTCTGGAATGACTAAAAATAAAGGAAAACAAATACCTGACGCCAACTCCCTTACCTTTCCGATTTCTTGATATCGTACCTTGTAGCCGGTGGCAACCCATGGTGGCGATGGAATTGTGGTGGCTTTGCTTGGTGGTGACAGAATTGTGGTGGTTTGCTTGATGGTGGTGCTTTGATTGGTGGTGTTTGTGGATGAAAGTTTTAAGGTGAAGAGAGAGAAAAATAAAAGTGAAAGTAAGAGAGAGAATATTGGAGTTATTTAAGAAAGGGTTACTTAATGGAGTTCATATAAAAATATGGGTGTTACCCGGTTAATACCGGACGTGGTTTAACTTTGCTTTACATGTATTTTGAATAGAACATATTTATAGTATTGTATTGAAATCTTCTTTGCACATACTTTAAACAATAAAAATGGAAAAATCTTTCAAAAATAAATAAATAAATATAAATGTATAAATTATTCAAAATAATTTATACATGTAATATATGAAAAGGTGTATTTACAAAAGTGATTTTTTACACTAAATTATGTATACGGACACTTAATAATAGAATAGAAAGAGTAAATATTAATTTTTTTAGAGTTGGTTGACGCATGCGTAGTACGCGACCTCCAACTAGTATAATTAAGGAAAAATACACTTTAATATTCCCAACTATTGCCGATTTACCTAGAATAATCTCAACTAAGGATTATTTTCTAAAAGTCTCAACTTTACCCCTTATTTTCTTCCAGCAGTCCTAATGACCGGTAGTCTGTTGAAAAGATAGTTTTAAAATTTGTTTACCACGTATCAACACATGATTAGTTTAGAATTTAAAAAATTAGGAAAAAAATAAGAAAATTTCATTAAGAATAAAAAAAAATCAGAACATAATAATAATTTTTTTAAAAACAAAATCCAAAAAATTAAAAAAAAAATTAATAAAAAAATCAAAAACTAAAAAAATCAGAAAAAATATCAAAACATTACGAAAAAAACAAAATTTATAAAACAAAAAAATTAAAATACAATAAAAAAATTAAAATACAATTAGAAAATTCATAAAAAAAAATCAGCAAAATTTTTTTAAAAAAAAACAAAAAATTAGAAAAAAAAAATCCCAAAACCCCCAGCCACCCCTCATCGCCTTGTAACCCTAGGCAGCTTTCCCCTCCCCGCCGGCGGCTTTGTTGAGATCCCTTTAATTAATCAATTTGCTTAAACGGTTTAATCAGTTTATTAATGAAAGTAATCATGCTCAGTCCTTAATTGAGTCTAGGCACATAGTCTCTTGGTCTCACACAAGAGTCAAAGCATGTCACTCACACTCACTATTAAAGCACACACCCAATACGTATGTTACGCTTTGACCATGTCTAGAAAGTATTGTATGCGCGTGTTTTCCTTCATTTTTTAGGTGGGTAAGTCGGATATTAATCCTCCAATTAAACCATAGTTTTTTGAACCCTTACTTGACTCCCAAAATATACACCTTATTTTTGCTTTTTTGCTTTTTTTTTTAAACCAATAAAGTCAAAGTCAATTTGAGTCAAGTCATTAAAACAATTAAATGGTTTAATTTACAGCGCTTGGTCAAGAAAGGAAGGGCGATTAATCAAGGACAACACCTTTGTTCAAGTACTACTTTTTGACAAACCAATTAGTCGTAAAAGAAAAGCTAAGAAGATAATGGCGTCTCTGGAAGAAGTCAATGAACTTAGGAAGGACGTGGCCAACTTAATTGAATTGATGAAGACTATGGCCCTTCAAATCAATGACCCTGTGAAGCAACAATAAATGGAGCTCATGCAAGAAAGCTTGAGCAAAATCTCCAATGACCATAGATTTCAGGGCATTAGCTCACAAGGGGTCCCATTGGACAAGGAG